TGCTATTCAAAGATGAATAAAGAAATTTTCCTTACTCAAATAAATTATCTATCAAAAAAACTTTATAATATTGCTAAATATGGTATTTGAAATAACTATTTTAATATATTTATAAACTACATATACTTACATATTAACAGTTAAAATATTAAATAATAAAACTTATTAGTTCTTAAAATATTAATTTTTAAATTTTGTCCGAAACTTTATTTATGAGGTGTTATATGTTTGAATTTCTCTCAAAATAAACCTAAAAAAATTAAACAGTTTTTATAGGTAATTAAAAGATCACTATAAACTTTATTCATTCCAGAACAAAATCCCTAATATTGACTTCTGGAGAATCTTTAACAGAATCAATAATAAGGGTAAGTAATTCCACCTTTTTTGTATGGTTCAGACTTTGTCACCTCACCTAAAGACAAAGCTGAATCGTTTGATAAGAACTTTTCATCAATATCATCTCTTGATTCCACTAGTTGCGTTCTACCTGATATAGCTATCAAACAAGTTGATCCATTGCTTGACATTCGTATCACTCCAGCTTCTGTATCTAAAGTGATTTCTTGCTTAGACTCTTCTACAGCTTGTGGCCCAGACAACATACCTGTTATAGTCTTGCAGAAATATTCTCTGGAGCTGTCGTCTATTCTTTCAAAACTATTCAACAAGTGCTTATCAGAGTCTTGTTTTCCAGCCTGCTGGAAAGCAGCATCTGTTATCCCTATTTTAAAAATTCTGGAGAGCGATCTGATTTGTCTAACTACCGACCCATTAGTCTTCTTCCTATCATAAGCAATGTTTTTGAATCTTTAATTAACAAACATATAGGGGGATTGTGATAGGGGGATTCTGATGTTAAAGAAGAATGAGATAATAGTTTTAGAGAGATCAAACTGTGATCAGAAGCATCTAAGGGTCAATGTGATTAAGACATGTCGAGTAGAGAAGGTAAATGATTCAGGTTGTCTGGAAAGCGAGTTGGAAAGTTGACTATTTGAGTTAGGGATTGTGAAAGGCAAAAGTTGTGAGCTTTAATTCCTGCAGAGTCACTGACACTAAAGCCATTCAGTGTGATGAGCAATTAAATCACTGACAACAACATTGATGGATAAAGATGACAACAACAATGATGGTCAATTTGATCAGAAATAACATCAAGAAGAGTGCAATCTTGAGATGAAGGAGAGTGATATAGAACAAAGAGAAATGTGATAGAGTGAAGTGGTGCTAAACAAAAGCACATAAAAGAGTAGTCTGTGGATTTAAATCTAGTTTTCTGACAAATGGGTAAATTCTTACGAATGTAAATGCCCAGGCCAATCGTGTGACTATTAAAGTTTTTACGAATTAAAGGAAGATAACCAACACTAAGATCACAAGATGAGACAGCTTAACTCAAATTAGTCTCACAAAGAGCAAGTAGGTCTGGTGAACTTTGCAAGAGATAAGACTCAACAGAAGAAAAGTTACTTCGAATGATGATATTGAATGATAGGTTTAGTGAACTTGGTGATGACAGTGGTTTTTTGTGTTTTATAGTTTTTGTTACTTTATTCAATTTTAATTTCTTAAATATCAAGCTTTCCCAGGAAAGGCGTGCGGTTTTCTTTCTTGTATGACCACGAAAACGTTTTTCAAGTTAGAGAATGTGACCACGTCCATTTGCGCAAGTTATACTATACTAGCAGTAAGCAACCCGTAATACGCGTTGTTAGTAAATAAAAAAAAAAAAAAAACGCGTATAGAAAAGCCTAAAAACTACTTTAAAATAGAAAAGCCTAGAAAAATGACGTAATTCGACTAATAATATTAAATTAGCGTATCAATATTATCAGATGCGTTACTGAAAAATTGTTTTAAATTTAATAACTGCATAAGAATTTAAAGTAAACTTAAATAGAAAACAATAATAATGGTTTAAATAATTTGTTTGTTGTTTTTATTTTTGTTTTTTCTTAGTGGTTATTATTATTGGCAACAAAATTTATTAAGTCAAAGCAAAAAAAAAAAAAAAAAGTTTAAGGCGTTAAAAAAAGGACTTTCCCATATTTTAAGTGCTTTTTCTTTTAAAGAGAAAATATGTATTGTCATCTGTTTGTAAAATATATTTGTATAATTATAATGTAACAAGTTTATATAAAGAGTTAAATTTTACAATCGCGTTTGCAAACTCTGTAAAATATTAGGTCTTTAAAATTTTAGTTCATGCAAAGCTGTGTACTTTGTTTATAAGGAGCAAATTATTAAAAGTTTGCTAGCGAGAAAGTTACAAAAAACAAAACAAAAACAATAAACTTACGACTAAAAGTAATAACACTTTAGTCACTAACTGCATTATAAAAGTAATAAAACTATAATAGTGTTATTACATTTATATAGCACTTATTACTTTTAAAAACTCATTCTTTGTTCAAACAACATTATTAATTCCAAACATTTATTAAAGTAGAAAAGCATCTAGAAAAAATAAAGCGGATATTCAAATATTATTAAAAATTTCAGGAACTTTCACATATCACATAACGTTATAAAAAAGTTCTTTATAAAAAGTATAGCATTACAAAAAACGTTACGTAAAAACGCGCGTTAATTTTAAAATCAACCTATAAAAAATTTTTATTGGTTAATTTTAAAATTAACGCGAGTTTTTACGGTGCATTAGTAACTTTTCATAATGCTAAACTTTTAATACGACACGTTTTCATAAAGTTGTCTGTAACGATTTTATAAGTTACTTTAGTTTTAATATTATTTGAACATCCACTTTATTCTTCTAGATATTTTTCTACTTCAATTAAAATTTGGGAATACTAATGTTGCTTGAACAAAGAATGGATTTTAAAAGTTATAAGTGCGTTATAAAAGTAATAACACTAGAATAGTGTTATTACTTTTGTAATGCAGTTAGTGACTAGAATGTTCTTACTTTTGTAATCGTAAGTTTATAGTTTTATTTTTTATTTTTTGCTAACAAATTTAAGTTGATTCTCTTCTTATAAACAAGGAACACGGTTTTGTATAAACTAAAATTTTTAATGCTAGATATTTTTCCAGATTTTGCATTTTGCATTCGCTTAATTCAATCCTTGTTGTTACATTAAAATTACAAAAATAAATTTTACAAACACATTGAAATTTTTATTTTTACTATCCTCTTAAAAAAAAATAAGAAAAGGAAAATCATTCTTTTTATTGTAGACTTCAAACTATTTTTTTTTTGCTTCGCCTTATCTAATTTTGCTGCTGAATGTAACTCTAAAGAAACAAAAATAAAAACAGTTCACAAATTATTTAAATTATTAATTTGTTTTTATTTTTTTCTATTTCAATCTCTTTTTATTTTGTTAGTTTTTTTTTTTTTGAAACTTTTTCAGCATTATTATAAAACTTGCAAACGGCCGTGTTCACGTTTTCTAAAATAATCTAATCGCGTGTGGTCATACGAAACAAAAATCCGCACACCTTTCCTGGGAAGGCTTGAAATATATATGTATATATATATATATATATATATATATATATATATATATATATATATATATATATATATATATATATATATATATATATGTATATATATATATATATATATATATATATATATATATATGTGTATATATATATATATATATATATATATATGTATATATAAATATATATATATATATATATTTATATATATATATATATTTATATGTATGTATGTATAAATATACATATTTATACAACAACAACAAAAAAACCTTGCTTACTTTAAAAAGATTTAATTCTGGATTAAATGCTTCAGTGATTACATCTTCTAAAAACTCTTTAAAAACACCATCTTGATCAATACCAACTTCATCCAAGCCCTACAATATGTTAAATCAAAGGTTCCTTAGATACAAAACAAATATAAAAAGTATAATTGTTATCTACAACATATGCATATATATATATATATATATATATATATATATATATATATATTATATATATATATATATATATATATATTTATATATATATATATATATCTTACCATATTAGGCCTTGCATAAAAATGTAACTGATGATGTCATACTCAAATAGCTACAAGCAGGGACTGTAGTTCATATATTAGGGAGACTGAGGGTTTGTGGAGATACTATCTAGATACAAAGGACTGAAAAAAAAAAACAAAAAAATTTTTTTTTTCGTCTTCTTTCTCAAAAAAAACTGTCTGGAATTAAGAGAGGATTTTAAAACTTAAAGTACACAAAATATATTAGTTTTGCATTTCTTATATTACACAATATAAAAAATGCAAAACTTATTGTTTGGGATTTCTTTTGAGTGCTTAATGTTCTTAAAAGAACAGAGTAATTATGAATTAGAAGAAAATCACATATCAAACTTTTGATATGTAAAATATAAAAAATTTGATAAGTGACTTTTTACTAATTTATATAAATGTATTTTTTTAACTATCAACTTTCTTACATTACTATTGTTTTTAACTTATTTTCACTGAGAATCATTTAAAATTATATTGTTTAAACTCATATTGGTTTTTTTGTTCAGACTTTTCGATACAGTTCATTGTAAGTGTAATCCATAGCTTTTATGCATCAGTAGCAGACAGTTTTTTTTTGCTGTTAACTTTTATCTATCAGATCTATCCTTAAAACATTTGATTACATTTTTGATTACATTACGATCCATTTGATTACATTACGATCCATTTGATTACATTACGATCCATTTGATTACATTACGATCCATTTGATTACATAAATCTACTGTTCAATGTATCTAAATGCATCATAAATATTTTGCCAATTTTTGTCTTATCCATTGAAAATTTTTATACTTTTTTTTGCTAAAAAAAAAAAAAATATCTATATCTATATATAATTTCACGTTTGAAATTCTATTCTTGCATTGCATATATTAAATATAGCAATTTTGATAAGAAATTGTAAAAAATATAATTTTGGCACAAAAAACACAATTTGTCCACAGTGAAGAGTGGAAACTGTGAAAAAAGTGTTAATTTTAAACAACAGTCCTAAAATTAATAACAAATAATCATAAAACAAACTTGGTTGCAGATAGAAAAACCTTATAATATTATTTATATTATTATCAATAGTTATTGGTTTCAACTGAACCAATATCTATATTGTAGCTGATGCCAATACACATAATACCAATATGTGAATGGACAACAAAAATGAATGTGAATGGACAACAAACTCAATGTTAATTTTTTAGCCAATTATTTATTTAAAAACATTATAATCATTAAATGCTCTAAAATCTTGACATAATTTAACATAAAATCAAATAATTAATAATAATAAAAGTAATAATTAAACTCATACTTTCATACGAAAGGTTTAACCTAGATTGAAACCTATATATATTTAACCTAGATTGAAACCTATATATATTTAACCTAGATTGAAACCTATATATATTTAACCTAGATTGAAACCTATATATATTTAACCTAGATTGAAACCTATATATATTTAACCTAGATTGAAACCTATATTTATTATTAGGGGATGGTTATAACCAAAAACCAACTAACTAGGAGTAGATTTTACCACACCTTAGTTTGATAAAATTAAGCTAGAGCAAAGTTCAAAGACCAACTAGAAATAAATTATTATCTTAAATAGATTTAATGCAATAAAATGACTTTGTATAAATTTGATAAGCAGAAAGATTTTACTGGAAGTGGCTTTCCACTAAAAACTACAATTAAAATGTATCATAATTGTTTAAACTGGAAATAATATGTCAACAACATTCTGTTTAGTTTAATCTTACTTAAACCAGTTATAAATCTACTTATTCAAAATTAAGGGTTTATAAAATCAGGATATGTTTTTGACACAATATTAAAGATTTAGAAAATCAAAATAAAAGATCAGAGATTAAAAAAATGAGAAACCAAATGTTGATCATATTATATTATATATGTTTACAATTCATATGACATGATATGCAAATACTTATGTTCTGTTTTATAAATAAGATATAATAATGTATGTACTTTTTTAGGTGGGAAAGAGGAAGCCAAGTTATTAGAAAAAAGTCAGCTAATAAAAATTTATATATACAGTATATATTAGCAACAGTTGAATAAAATGAGGTAATTTTGCCACCAAGTGGTGTATATCTACTTTTATAACTATAACTTTACTCAGGAATAAGATTTTTTTATCATTCAAATTTCTATTAGAAGAAAAACAAATTTCTTATCAAATTATGTAAAAAAAAAAATCTTTTTGTGAAAACTTGATAACAAAATCGACAAAAATAATCTAAAAAAAATATATAAATTTTAAAATTTTCATAAAAATCAAATTTTTTATTTCCATTCAAAATTTAAAAGAATCTTTGTTTGATTTTTTATTTCTAATTTCGATCAGTTCCAAAGGCAATATGGAAATACTAAATGATAGAATTTTGGCAACTATTTATATTAAATAGAAATGTGCTTTGATTGGATATTTAATATTATTTCCATTCCTCTTGTATTGGTAATTGTAGTTTTATAGAGAGCATTAATAAACCAGACCATAAAAAGTTTAAAAACTTATATAAATTTTTTTTTCTTAAATGATCGACTGCCTGTCCAAACCAAACCCTCAGTCGATGTAGCAGCACTCCCTTGCAAGTCAGGCTATTTGTCAGTTGATGTAGTAGCACTCCCTTGCGAGTCAGGTTATTTTTCAGTCGATGTAGCAGTACTCCATTGCAAGTTAGGCTATAAGATAGTTGATGTAGCAACACTCCGTTACAAGTCAGGTTATAAGATAGTCGATGTAGCAACACTCCCTTGTAGCAGCAGGCTATAAGATAGTCAATGTAGCATTGCTTCGCGCATGTTTTAAAAATATATTTTAATAAAATAACCATTAATTAAAAAAAACTTTCAAGTCATTATTATAGCGTTTTTTTTAAAAAACAATAAAATTTAATGTACTTCCGCATTTATTTAATTGCTTTGAAATTTCGATGACAATAAATTGTAGCTTAATTTTCGAAGTAGTAAAATTGTAGTCGGAAGACTTTTTTTACAGTCTCTTTTGACTACAATATAAGTATATGTATATATATATACATACATATATACATACATATATATATATATATATATATATATATATATATATATATATATATATATATATATATATATATATATATATATATATATATATATAAATGCTGATTGTTTTGAGAACATCAGTTTTTTTTTTTGTGTGTGTTTTTATATTGTAGACAAAAGTATAATTATTCCACAAATGAAAACGCATGTATAAGCCTAAGTTGTTATATAAGCATCAGGCTTGGTCGGGAAGCGGGAGCGATCGCTGTCGATTGCTGACCACGGAAATAATATTTAGTTGCAAAAAGCTGGCCAGATTTTTTAGTCGTTTTGAGAACATTTCAAAAAGCAAAAAAAATGCGCTAAAGATTAATTGGACCGATGAGAAACAATTACAAAAAAAATTAGGA